TATTAAAGGTCCGCTCGCTGGCGCCCGCACTAAAAGGCAAAGTGCAGCGGTGCTCGGCAACTCCAACAGTCTTCTCAATGAAAAAAAACAAATGCTAATGGTAAGTTACCTCAGCTAACGCTACTAGCCTTTTATATCTTTCAGCTCAAAAACTGTGTGTAAAGGGGTAGTAAACAGATGCCAAGCATGATAAGTGATGCTGAACGCTTTATTTTATTCTATTTATATGAGTAGAGTGTAAAAATGAACCTGAACCCAGCTTTTACTGGCTCTCACTGCTGGCATTCTAGCTGCGCTCTATGTGACAATGTGTGACGTGGCACATCGGGGGGTGCCATGGCCATCTGGATTCTTTTGTGACCTCCTGGATGAGTTGTTGATGTGTTCTTGGTGAAATTTTGGTACGCGGGCCACTCCTCGCGGGCCACTCCTCTCCTCTGTCTTTAGACCTTCCTACCTGCTTCACATGGCCAGACAGGTTCTATTTAAGTGATGTTTAGATTCAACAGGCCTGGCAGTAACCATGCCTGGGTGTGGCTAGTCAAATTGAACCTAACAGTCTATTCAAGTTGGTTAATTGGTTAATTTAGTAACTAAGGGGGCAAATACTTCTCACATAGAGTCAGAAAGGGCTGATCAGCTTTTTTTTTCTTTAATGAATGAAATCATATTTTAAAAACAGTGTGTTGTGTTTACTTGGATGATCATTGTTTAATATTAAAAGTAGTTTGATGATCTGCAACATTGACAAATATGCAAAATTAGAAGAAATTAGGAGAGGGGCAAATACTTTTTCACAGCACTGTATGGCCTATATGTATGCAAGTACCCATATGTAATATGTTCCATATACCAAGTACCTCTGTGTAATTACAATATGCCCCATGTGCATCTTATAAATGTAAACAGCACTAACCTTAAGTTGAACCTCAGAAGCAAAAAGGAAAAAGGAAATGGTTTTAAATATTTAAAAACACACACACACACACACACACACACACACACACATGCGCTGTGTCTCTGGCAGGGTGCTGTGTGTCCCTGACTGCAGTGACAGACAGAAATGCTCGGGAGAAGTCTCGCTAGGAGAGAAGCCCTGCCAAAAGAGTCAGCTCCTCCCCACCTGCCACTGTCAGACTAAGCCAAGACTCAGCAGAGCTTCATCCACCTACATACGCAGAAACACACACACACACACACACAAGCAGCTGTCAGAAAACCAGAGAAACACTCACTCAGCCTGGGCTGAATTTCCACAGACCAACAAAAACAGCGTGCTGCATGATAGCTTTGGACAGTCTTGAGATCTTCAAGAGTGCAATTTCTGCAGTGCTTTAATCTGATGGTCCACTTTAGAACAAACCACTAAATGTGTTTCTAGTCCTCATGCTAACTCTTACCTTAACCTCAACCTCAACCCAAACCCTACAGCTAAACTAAAGCAGGTGCTTGTCTCAGAAAGCAGGACTTTCTTGCTCGGCCAGCTAATTTTAGGCTTAGTTTAATCTGACCCTGGATTTTCAGTGACACTTTATTCTGAGTGCTCCTTTTAGATGAAACAAACACTCAACAGACTCTCAGTAACATGTCTAAAACATATGAGGGTTAGGATTAGGTTTTGGGTTGAGGTTAAGGTTAGGGTTAAGATTAGGGCCAGGGTGGGGGTTAGGATTAGGTTTTGGGTTGAGGTTAAGGTTTTGGGTTAAGGTTAAGGTTTTGGGTTGAGGTTAAGGTTAGGGTTAGGTTTTGGGTTCAGGTTCAACAGTATCAACAGAACATCTACAAAATATTTACTACAGTGTATTCAGATGTTTCACTGCTGCTACTTCACTGATAAGTTGTTGATGTGTTACTGATATTCTGTTAAGAGTTTATTAGTCATCTACAGAGGACCACTCCAAATGAAGGCTTACTGAATTTTCTCACAATGGTGGATCACATTTGGACCACCAGGGTCACCATGGCAGCTTAAACTGCACACCTAACCTACTTCAGGACTGGATAAATTTGGGATTTTAGATTATAAACAGCCCTAGGACCAATCAGGGCTGAACTTCTGACCAAACAGGGACAGCCTTCTGATAGACCTCGACTCCGGTTGTCTTTTTTTTTTTTTGTCATTTGCAAAATAGCACTTTCCAGCAGAGTTTCTCAATAACTATAGCTTTACCAACTGTTAATGTCAATTTCATTAACATACTTATTTACAATCAAAACACTGACATCTACAAGATACTAATAAAGTAGAAGAAAGTCCCTGTTTTCAGATATTTTGTTTGCCATCTTAAAATATATGTAAAAATATGGATCAAAAAGACAAAGTTTACTTTGTCTTTGTTTACTAAAGGTGGTTCAGTTGTAATGCTGTGTAACAGCTAATCCCGAGGTAAGGAGGCTGTACTTAAGCCTAACTAGCACTTGCTGAGAGCTTGTCAGCAGCTTTAAAACGGTGCTGCATCACAGACAACAAGATGGTGATTAAAGTAATATAAGGTTGGATTTAGTGATTTACACAAACAGCTCAGTAACCGAAAAAACTGAAAACACTCTTTGACACAGATCTCTTTAAAACGCACATGAATCGCTCTGATTTTTGGTGGGAGACCGTGGCTAGGAAATGTAGTAATGTGGCCACAAGCACACGCTGCTTGACCCTATATAACAACATAAAAAGTCTGTGTTAGATTGTGCCCAGCGTTAGGTTATTCCCCGCAATGCCCTAATGGTAGAGAGTCAATTCCAAAACAATCGATTCATTGACTCCAACACATCTTTGTGTCGAGGCTGACTCATCACCAATGACTCTGAGAGTCGTAACGCTTGGATTCGACTCTCTGAACACGTTGAAACCTTATAATTGGCTCGAGAAACATTCTGACGGAGGCGTGTGTAAAGCAGGAAAGAGTCCGAGTTTGAGCAGAGAGAGTCTGTTTAATGACCAGTCTTTCAACAACGCCAACGCTGCTCACCAGCCACTGTGGGCACAAACTCCAGTCACAAAAACATTGTTTATATGTGCTGCACCGCTCTGCACCCACTGTACCTTTCCTTCATAGGTTTCATAGGTTTGCAATAAGCAGTGATTAGAAACAGTACAAAGATCAAAAAAGAAAACAAAGCACAATCATTTTCACAGAACGCTGTGGAAAAGAGGATGAAGCTGAAGTTGGCTTCTTATTCAAATGTTCAGTTCCACCTTAAATGGTGCTGCCGTTACAACCTGGTGTCAGCACACCATTAAAATAACTGCTGCATTATTTAAGATGGAATGGAGAAGCTGAAGAAGAAGCTGGTGAAGATGAAGACTTCAGCCTTGTGGAAAGAGGAACAGGATAACTTCTCCGGAAAACTTGATTCCTTTCCAAAGAATTAAGACCACAGTAATGACTTTCTCACTCCGAGTTTCTCCTCGCCCTGTGCTACGTGAAATAAGCTGATGATATGTTGAAACTTTTGTCAGCTGTAATCATTCGTCAAGCTACCTGATATTACTTGGTATAATCTATGAACTTTCATCACTATAATCTGTATCCACTCGAAAAATTGGGCATATTTGGGGGGGTGTTTAATCTCTGTTACATCCCTTTATCACTGGCTCTGGCACCTTCTCGGCTAGAATGGAAGTGGAACTCCACTGATTTTTCAAAAATTCTACATAAATAAATGATTGAAATGTGAGCAAAGCCATTCAGAGTGGTTTGGTGTGAAATGCTCTGTTCTAGAGAAACTAACAGCACCAGAATTTTTTACAGTAGTGGTGATAGAAACCAGACGTCTGAAGAGGTTAATGCCTCTAAAGCTGCCTCACAGAACGTTATTACATGAAGTGGTTAGATACAAGCTGCCTGATGTCTGAGACATTGTTTTATGATAGTTTTTTAAATAAACTTTTGGCTTAAAATGTATTTGAATCCATTTTTTAATCCATTCATGGCAGAGGGGTACATGCAGGGTGTTGTAAGGCAAAATAGAAGGCACATGGAGGTTTACTGGTGGTTTTGGATAGTAAACAAAAGTCTCAGCAAGTTTCTCTACAATGAACCACTTGAAATCAAACCACTCTGAATCAATCTGTACATCTCAAGGACTGAATTATTTTGAAATTTTGAAAAATTGGTGGAATTCCCCTTGAAGTGGAGACAAGCTAAAGTTTTACTAAGTTTTGCAGGATTGTGATCTATGACTCAGCTGAAAAACTAAAACAGCCAAGCTCTCTGCTATCCTAACTACACGCCTGCCAGTCGTTTCAAGCTGTTTTGTCTCTTTCCTAGAAACGAGCCATTTACTGTATGTAGCACTTCGTTCTGCTCAGCAGACTGAAGGTTTTTTCTATAATGAAAGGCTCGTTATTTGAAGCTGTATTGAACCTGACAGCATTGCGGTGATGACTGTGCTTGGCCCAGCAAAACTGACAGTCACACAAGTGAGGCTGGAAATGAGAGTTTTTCCTCATTTACCACATGATGGTTGGCAGCCCTAATTAAATCAGCTTTGTTCAAGTGTTTTTTTCAGGCTGAAGTTTCTCGAGTCGTAACTCTTAAGTCCGGATCGAGTTCTAGTCACTGTCTTGAGTCCCCGTCTCTGGCCTGAATCATCTCACACTCACCTTAAACTGTGTCGAGTTGTTCAGTAATGGCTAATAAACTGATTGATTATGTGGTTTCTGACACTGTACGGCACACAGTTCTCTCTAAAAATGGACAAAAGTACACAGTGTAGCTAAAAACAGCACTAGCAGCCATCCTGACAGCTTCATTTGCATGACGCTAATAAGACTGTATTAGTTTTAGCCTCCTGAGCAAAACTAAAGAAGAAAACTTCAGACACCAAAGATATCTCAGCTGACAGAGTACATTTGGTATATTGTGAAAACTGGGCTTTTCCTCAAGCTAATTATTTTTCTACTATTGTGAAATCACAATTCCTGTCAGCCTCTGGTCAGAGTTTGCATGTGTTGTAATCAGGTCTACAAAGTAAACAAAGCCTTGCGTAATCACGTACAAATGGATATGTCCAGTAAAAGAGTGCAAACACACATACAGTGACCTAATAAACAGAACAGGAGGAGGTTAGACGCTGAAAAACTGCAGAAAACGCCGCAGCACAAGGACCATGACGGCCACTATGACGAGGAGGGCTTTGAAATGGCTTTGTTTAATGCTAGGTAGGCTGCTCCACAATTCCACAACATGTACTTTGATTTATGTACAATGAGTTGAATGTCACTTTTTCACTCTTGTGTAAGAAACTGCCGCTGAATGTGACCGTAAGCCAAAAAAGAGCCAGGCATTTTGAGTACATTCTGGTTTGCAAAGGCTCTCAGCTAAGCTGAATATCAAGGCAGTAAAACACCCTCCACTTTGTGAAAACTGGATGATTGTTGTCGTGTGTGTTCTCTGAAGTGCTCGTCTCAGGTGGTGCTCAGACGATCAACTCAACCAGCTGCCCGGCCTGGTCTTTTGAGCACGTCTTGGAAAACCTGAAGGTAGAACAGTGCTTCAACAGGCAGGCGCTGCGACACATTTAATACCTTTCAACTGGACTTCAACCTTCAGGGGTCACAGTTAGCGTTATGGATAATAAACACATGCAAATTGGTGATTTTACAGTTGAATGCAAAAGTTTGGTCACCTCTGGTCGAATGACATGGTTTTGTTGATTTGCAAAGTCAAAGTACATTAAAACATCCTCAACAGGGAACACACTTCTGTACACCTTAACCCACAATTACTGCTTACATGCTGAATTGAACATTTTGGGGAAAAAATGAGCGGCGTGTGCCAAAGTTTTGTCACATTTTATGTTTTAGGTCTTATTTTTTCCCAATATGTTAAATTCAGTAAAATACCTTACGTAATAAAATTTGCAGAAAAATGCCATGTTTAAGTTTGTGCCCTGTAGAGGATGTGTGAACTTGTTCTAGGGATGTATATACTGAATAAATTTGATATTTAATTATCTACCCTCTAAAGGAACAACACACTTGTCTGTAATGTAAGTACAAAAAAAAAATACTGTCAAAATACTGTAAAATTTAATGGTCAATTCCCATTTCTTTTTAAGGTTAAACATATCGCTGTTGTCAGAACGCATACTTTACTTTTAATGCAATTCAGTGGAACCAGACTTTTTTCCAAGTAATTTTGGGCTGTTTCTTTTGGTCCATTCATCATGAAATTTACACACAACATAAAGGACAACGGGTATTTTCAAATTACGCCAAAAACTGAAAAACGACAAAAATTAAGACCTTAATAAGGTTTTGTTCCAACAGCAGAAATATGTTTATATGATTAAGGTTAAATGTGTGTAAATACACCATACATATACTGTATTTTAAAACGGCTGAATTACAGTAAAAGGCAGTACTTTATTAAAAGAAATGAACTTAATGTAATTTTACAGATTTTTACCATCACTGATTAACTGTTGTCTGGCAGCCCTGCCACCAAAATATTTACTGTTTTTTGGGTAGTGAAATAAGAGCAAAACTGTCACATTTTACAGTCCTGTAAAACATAAAATTGCTAAATTGTTTTAAACTGTATACCTTGTTTTCTCATGAGTAAATACAGGCACCTCAAACAGTAATACAAAAATGTATAGTCTTGCATTGTGGAATGAAAACCTACACATTTTTGCCATGATTTTGTCATATAACATCAAAACAAAGTGAAAAAGCTGGAAGTTCAGATGCGAACCTTTCATTACAGAACGTAAACTGAATATCATGAATCATAAATCATAATGTGTGAATCATAAAACACATTTTTCTCCCACACCATGAAATATTTCTGGGTAAAACTGGATATGAGGGAGTCTAGCTGAGTGTTTTCTCTCAATGGTAGGTGGGAACGGTGGGAGTGGGGGGATATTATTGGCTACTATTATTTTTCCCTGACCGCTAGAGCATGGGGATGTAACCAAAAATCAGAAGATGTTTCAGGATGGCAAAATGCTTTATGTTTTGGAATGGAAGTTTATAGGAAAACAAAAAATTTATCTTTTAAATGATATGAGGAATCATGCTTGGCATGGCCTGAACTAACAAAGTAAAACAGAACTATTAAGATTTCAAGTTGACCTTAAAGAAAGAATGAACAGTTACAGTTCATGTTTGTAGCTGCGCTGCTGTACACATCTTATTAAATATGGCTAAAGCACAGTAGATGCTAAAGTTGTCCTCACTGTTTCTTTCTTTTCAAAATCAGGTCTCGGATGAATGCTTTGAGTCGCTTGCTGACAAGTGGAATGACAGTCAGACTGCAGCTATACTTGATAACCTGCGCCGGCTGACGGACGTTTTACAGAAACAGCAGAAAAAAGGTAAATAAAAATAAATGCTGCTTCGGTTCTCTTTTTTAAAACGTCCCTCTCTCACTTCTGAGTAACCTGTGGTGCTTCTCTGATCTGCAGAATGTAAAGAGGTCATGCCTGCTGACTGTCCTTTTCCAGTCATTCCCAGTAAAGGAGGACTGGTGTGTGTATCTGTTGAAACGAAGGTTTACTGCAAACCAATGTGCAATGAGGTACGAAAAAACATAATATTAATGAGCAGAATTCCCACAGAACCCACACTGTATGACACAACAGTCACCTGACACATAAAGCCCAACACTCGAGGCAATGTGTCACCAGCACCCTCATGTGGACGCTGATAAAACTGAAAACCTAGAGTTTAGAAAAGAACATCATTTGAACTCTTAAACTCCAGGCTTTATTAAGACTTCGCTTTTAAAAGAACAGCTGTTTGTATTTTTGAAAAATTGAAATGATTGATACTGTTGATTGCAGTTATATACTGCTGCCAATGTCTTAGATGTAGAAACAGTTTACAGTACAATATGCCATTATCATAAACAAACATTACAGTATGAGTGTTGTAAATACTAATTACAGTAACTATCTGGTAACTCTGATGCTGTAAATACTAATAATAGTAAGTATCTGGTAACTCTGGTGCTGTAAATATTAATTACAGTAACTATCTGGTAACTCTGGCGCTGTAAATGGTAATTACAGTAACTATCTGGTAACTCTGGTGCTGTAAACGCTAATTACAGTAAATATCTGGTAACTCTGGCGCTGTAAACGCTAATTACAGTAAATATGTGGTAACTCTGGTGCTGTAAACGCTAATTACAGTAAATATCTGGTAATTCTGGTGCTGTAAACGCTAATTACAGTAAATATCTGGTAACTCTGGCGCTGTAAACGCTAATTACAGTAAATATCTGGTAATTCTGGTGCTGTAAACGCTAATTACAGTAACTATCTGGTAATTCTGGTGCTGTAAACGCTAATTACAGTAAATATCTGGTAACTCTGGCGCTGTAAATGGTAATTACAGTAACTATCTGGTAATTCTGGTGCTGTAAACGCTAATTACAGTAAATATCTGGTAATTCTGGTGCTGTAAACACCAATTACAGTAACTATCTGGTAATTCTGGTGCTGTAAATGCTAATTACAGTAACTATCTGGTAACTCTGGCGCTGTAAACATGAATTACAGTAACTATCTGACAACTCTGATGCTGTAAACACTATTTACAGTAACTATCTGGTAACTGGCGCTGTAAATGATAATTACATTATTTATCTGATATCTCTGGCACTGTAAATACTAATTACAGTAACTATCCGGTAGCTTTTTCAGTTCTGCCCTAAGACCTTTTCGTTTTGGACTGAGAGCTACATAGATGGCTTATACACACACATAACAGCATTGAGAATTGAATTCAGAATTCTGTTTAAACCTACAAAACTTTTAATACAAAATAATAAATAACAATAATAATGAAGCTGATAATGTATGCATAGGTTTGTGATTTCACAAAAAACAATGCATTTACATACATATGCCTATTAAACTTGGCAATTTAGACCCGCCCCCATGTTAAAGTGAGTGTTGAGTGTATCAGTGTTTCAGCCTGAACTGCTTTTGGAATGACACACAATACAGGGTAGCCAATCAAAAAAGACTTCATTTACATACATCAGTCTTAAAGGCACACTAACTGAGCCCTAAAGCCTCTTAATCAGGGGGTGTCCCATCTTATCCACAGAGGGCCGGTGTGGCTGCAGGTTTTCACTCCAGCAAAGCAGGAGGTCACCTGATGAAATGTTTGAAGACTGAGACCAACTGATTAAACAAGTAGAATCAGGTGTACTTCAGCTTGCTTGGACTGAAGACCTGCAGCCACATCAGCCCTTTGCAGATAAAACTAGACACGCCTGGTCTTCATGTCTTAACTGACAGACAGAGCATTAAAGTCTTCTTTGTGCTTAGATGTTTTTGGGAAACCCAGCCCTGTTCATTTAAAAGCGATAAAGAGAGGCTGGAAAACTGTTATGTTGAAAATGAATTATGACAGTCTTTGCTACACAAAAGCCCACAGAGAACATAAGTGGACCTAAGAGAACATAAGACTAGGAAAACGTAGGATACATTCTCTTTAAAAGTACATCAAAATGGGTGGACAGACAGAACACTATTGTTATTAATACAACAGTTCTGAGAGTGTAAGCCAGTATTGTTTCATATTCTCCAGGGCCAGGACTTCTCCTTTCTGAGGAGATCGAGGGTGTATGAAGAATGCAGTGCCGCCACTAAAAAGTGGACAACACAATACGTGGGTGGGAACAAGCTGGCCGTCTGTAACAGTAAGTGGCTTTCTGGACACTTCCATCCAGCCCACTCCTCTCTTCTTCTTCTGCCAGAAGGTTTATGTAGTCAAGAACTCTTCCTAAAGCTTCCACAGAGCAGGGGTGGCGCCACACCCCCAAAACCTATAGTTTCCATAAATAAATTAATTAATACAATTATTTAAAAAAACATAGCTGACTGAGTGACAAACTGCAACTAGACCACTGACTGACTAACTACCATACTACTACTACCAAGGACCAATCCCATTTCTCATTTTTACCCCTACCCCTTGTTTTCGAGTGTCACCCTAACCCCTTGGAACTGAGTTACAAGGGGTAGTGGTTGAAATCTTCCCCATGAAATAGGACCCTCAAATAAAGACGAACATTACTTCATTAACAGCTATTAGCAGCTGCTCTGTAGGTGACCCTGCCAGTCTGCAGTGACAGCAGAGGAGGGTAAAGTTCAGCTCCTCACTGCTGGGCTTTAGTTACATTTAGGCATCATATGCTTTCAATTATTTATTATCACCCACCCCTAATTCTTCAGTGATATGAAGCTAAAGTCAGCTGTTCACCAGCTTCTTGTTCAAATTTTCCTGTTCCACCGTAAAAGGGTGCAGCAGGTCTGACGCCTGAGATGGACCATTTAAGGTTGAACAGGAAATTTAGCCAGCTAGCTACCAAGACATCAGCATACCAATATGCTTGTTATGAAGAAAAGGACCATAATACATTGAAATGACATTAAGCTAAGATAAAACAATGGTTATCGTAATTTCAGAATGGAGAAAATATTTGGTCTTCTTTGGTTTCTTTGGTCACTTGTTAAGCCATCTTGCTGCTTTTTTTTCTCATAACACTCTGTTTGGAGTGAGCCTCAGAAAAACCTGCATTTGGAGGGCCACATAGCCCTAACACAGCACCAAAGCACCGAAAATTGGGACACCCTACCCCTAGGCATGAACGCGCAAAACTGAGGGCTTAGGGCTAGGTGGCAGGGGCAAGGAGTGAAATGGGATTGGGCCTATGTCATGCTAATAACCCATCTCCATAAACCTGATGAACAGTGACAGTGTTTGTTCGGCCTTGCGCTTCACCTGGTTCAGTTTCAGATGGCAAACTTTACTAGCTTTTTGAAAAACATCAGGCAGGTTTTCATACCCGGTTCATTTTCTAAAGTTCACACCAAAGTTTTGGTAATACTGTATGTTTTTTTACTTGGCTCAGATACATTCACACTGCAGCGGCACATACAAGTAGGTGTTTGTTTATTGGACAGACATTTCGCAGGGAGGCTCTGTTACTGTCACACTTACCACCATAAAAACAGAAAAACAGAAAACAGAGACACTTGTCGTTGATGTGAATAACAATCAAAGCACTAATAATAAACCTGGTAAACCAATCAGGTCACTGATGCTTGGCAAAAAATACATTCCACGATCCATGTGCCAAAATCGAAAGCATATCTTCACTGTTTATTGTTTGTCTGCTGTTATTAAAGCAGCTTGTGCTGCAACAACAATGTAAATAGTAAAACATTAAAAAGAAGCACAGTGCTGATGTGCACTGAGGAAAGCGTGCTCTGGTGCTGAATTCCTTCATTTGGTGTGGCCCCTCATAAAAATTTCTTCAAGCAGCAAACTGAAGCACACAGAAGTGTTTTGCCAGACCACCATTTGTGTGTTTGCTGTGGTCCTGAATACGAGTGAAGTGTTCACACGTCACTTTCCGAACACAGTTCACATCACTACATTCACATTACCAGGCTGAAGTGGCACAAATCTGATATCTTGCCCTAATGTGACTCAGATCTGGTGTTTTCAGAACTGTATGGACACACAAATCTGGTCTTTTCAAATCCGACCTGAGCCACTTTCATATGTGGTCCTAGATCGGACACGTATCCGATTCGTGGCCATGAGATCTTCATGAGAACGCTCAGTTTGGAATTCATGTTTTTTTTCCCCTCTGCATGCACCATCATTCAGAGTTACTCTGGCAGCAGCACAGTGCTGATGTGCACAGAGGAAAGCGTGCTCTGGGGTTGAATCCCCTCGTTTGGGGTGGGCCTTCATAAAAATGCATTTCCTCAAGCGTGTTCACACGTCAAAACAAACCAAACTACAGCTTCTGTTACATTTCTATCTGTCAGCACTGCATAGTTGAGAGGGAGCGGATATTTTCTTTCTGATTTAAGCGCACTGAACTCAGTCAGAAAGTGGTGGGTCGTCGCCCCAGTGCTTTGAAAAGTGGTGGCTCAAATGCCCATTTACACCCGTGGTTCTGGCAGCCCTGCCAGAGTTGCCACCTTGTGCCAATACCCGTTGGCAGGCACATGCACAGATAGACACCAGGGAGTTTGAGACCCTTCCCCTTTGCCCTCAAACTGTAGAAGTGCCTCCGCCATTCTTCAAGATCTATTTCAGTGGGGCAAGGCTCAGCAAATACAGTTGGCAGTTCTGTTTGGGTTCTACAAGACTCATCACTCAAGTGTCGCATCTGGCGCAGTACCAACTGCCTGTGGAGAGTAACTCTGACCTCTAATGCATTACCTCAGAAATCCTACCAATAAAACAGTGATCATCTCTTTGAGAGAGCATCCCATTGCATAATGTGGTTATTTTGAACAACAAACATTGGGCCTCATTCGCCAACTGTTCTTAGGAAGAAATTTCGGTAACACTTTCTATGAATGTCACGTGTGTAAGCATCTATTGTTAGCATTCTATTGGATATGCAGTGTCAAGTTAGTGCCAAGCTAACGGTGGTGTACATTCACTTTCCCACACTGGGTAAAACACTGATGGCAGCACTAGTTTAAAATCTGACATTTGAAGCCTGTAATGTGAAAAAAAGTAAATCCTTCAGTAAACACTTCAACTTGAAGCCTCACTCTTAACACTGGAGGAGGCTTTAGTACAGTACACTTCACTTTACTTAGAGCGGACAAATACGACTTCCAAGCTCTTATAATTTGTTATGAACAGTACTTATAATGCATTATGTTAACAATTCGTAATGCATACTAAGCATGGCTATAACGTGTAATACATTTTTATAAATATTTATAGCCATGTTTATAATGCCTTATGAATGCATTACGTTATGAATGTGTTTATAGATGCTTACAAATGTGACATTCATATAAAGTGTTACCGAAATATCTTCTAAAAACCTACTTATGCAGTTCATACGGAGATTCTGACATGCCTCAATATTTTCTTATTTGAGATTTGTTCTTAGGTAAGAACAGAATCTTCACACACTCAAGAGCACAAAGGTTCTGAGGTTTAAGAACACGTCATGAATCTGATGTAGACTTTTTCTTAGGACCTTTCTCAAGAAGACAGTTCACGTGACTACGGGTTTATTAGGCTACGTGCACATTACGGGCACAAATCTGATATCATGCCCTAATGTGTCTCAGATCTGGTGTTTTCAGAGCTGTACGGATGCACAAATCTGATCTATTAAAATCCGACCTGAGTCACTTTCATATGTGGTCCTAGATCAGATACGTATCCGATTTGTGGCCATGCGGCCTTAATGAGATGCTCAGATCGGAATTCATGTGGTTTTTCCCCTCTGCATGAACCATCATTCAGCATTACTCTGGTAGCAGCGCCGAACAGAAGTTAAAGCCTGTAAACGGCAAAAAAGCACAACATCTCACCCTTTTCACCTTCGTCTCGCTCTAATAATGAACAGCTGAGAGCTGTATAAAGTAAATTATCTTTGCAGTAAAGGCTCGCTCTGCTCGTTAGTTTGATTGCTGTTCATAATGCATAATGACGTTACTGAGTAGGATGTGCGCATGAGGGTCATTTCAGGACACTGGCTCATTCACATTAATGACAGATTTGAGTCACTTTCCTAAACAAGTGTGAACCATCATGTTAAAGAGATCGGATCTGAGAAAAAATTGGATTTGAGCAATGAGGCTTGTAATGTGAATGCAGCCTTAGGAACTTGTTTCTTTAGAATAACAAAATGTGACTGAGGCGTGAAGTAAATCACAATTTATTTTTTGGGTTGCTCATCTTTGTTGGACTGCTTCATTTACATATCAAATAAATACAATAGCAGCACTGAGATCAAATTGTTAAAGGAAAGGAAGATATTAAATGTGGAAAAAGCTACCATTTAATTCATAGTGTAACATTACAAAGTGTAACAGTAAAAGTATGGTTACATTTGTATTAATATCACATAGAAAGACAGCTTGCAATTTAGATTATCTCATTCATAGCAATGAGATTTCTTCAGCTTTTTCACCAACTGTAGTAACTTTGGACTCTTTTCCTTTCTTTCTGTCACCCTGCAGAGTCTGACATCCAGATTTCAGGAGCTCCTTCAGCCTATTTCCCTAAAGACCAGGACTGTTTGAAGACTAAGAGCGACCAGGCCTTAGAGAAGAAGGTCATTGAGACTTTTCAGAAAGAGCTGAGAGATAACAACATCCAAGGCCATTTCACACATAGCTGTCTTCTATGTGGATAAAATCAACACAGCTAGAACGTATCTAGAGCCCTAGTTGGATAAGTGCTATCTGAAGATGTATTAAATTTCACTGATTATTTTCCAGTATGAATCTGCACTGTGAGTAGCTTTTATCCAGTCTGACAGTAATAACTACGTGGTGATTTTAATTCACACAGACATTCCTGACAGAATAGTGAAAACTGCTATGTAATTTTACATACAGCAAACATTAAATATCTGTCTTTGTGGCTCATTCAGAGACTCCTTCATTGTGTTAACAGCTAAAAGTGCAACACTCCGTCCTCACTAAAACAGCTGACAGGCTTCAATAATTTTCAGAAGTAGCAGTTCAAACATTCAAAAAAAAAAACGGTAACACTTTCTATGAATGTCACCTTTGTAAGCATCTATGAACACATTTATAACATGTTATAATGTATTCATAAGGCATTATAAACATGGTTATAAATATTTATAAAAAATAATTACACTGAATTACACTGTATAACCATGTTTATTATACATTATGAATTGTTAATATAATGCATTATAAATAGTGTTAATAACATGTTATAATGTCAGTGCCAAATAAGTCAGTCCCAGCTTGGAGAGCGTAAAGACAAACACCAAGCTAACGGTGGTGTACACTGACTTTCCCACATTGGGTAAAGCACTGATGGCAGCACTAGTTTAAACTCTGACATTTGAAGCCTGTAATGTGCTTTACTGTGAATGTTTTAGTGTTTCAGTAAATCCTTCAGTAAATACTTCAACTTGAAGCCTCACTCTGAACACTGGAGGAGGCTTTAGTACAGTACACTTCACTTTACTTAGAGCGGACAAATATGACTTATGAGCTCTTATAATTTGTTATGATCAGTACTTATAATGTATTATGTTAACAATTCATAATGCATAATAAACATGGCTATAATGTATAATGCATTTTTATAAATATTTATAGCTATGTTTAAAATGTCTTATGAGTGTATTATAACATGAATGTGTTTATAGATGCTTACAAAGGTGACATTCATAGAAAGTGTTACCAAAAAAATATTCCAAAGTGAAGAATATGTCTCTGGAATATGTTACTTGCTAACATCACATTGAAATCCCCATTATGTTAGTGGTGGCAAAACATGTAAACAAAAGCTACATTTGAACTGAATTACAAGGCTTCTGCATTAAGCACTGCTGTGTAACAACCACAGGTTCAAGACTTAATGACTACCTGGCTCTCAGTGTAAACAAGCTTAGGACGTAGAACATACACGCTCTCTCACACAGTGGTTACACCCATTTCCCCGCCCCTACTCCTGAAAGCACCAATGAGAGTAGTAGTAGTGATCAGCGTATAAAATCAACATCAGAATTTGACCTTTTCTTCAAATGACAGGATAAATGTTCTCCCAACCTGTAGTTCTTATTTAGTACCTTAATCATATCATCCTAATTTTTTATTTAAAATTACTGGAATGTGAGTCTTTGCCATTGTGTTGGAGCCAATCAGCTGCGTTGTGAGGCAGGGTGGAGCTAAACAGTCCTTTCTGACAGGCCAATATCTCGGATTGTAGCAATTCAGTATGTGCAATCTTGAAGTTTGACACCTTTACAATCACTCTAAAATGTGTGAAAAAAGTAGGTGTGTCAAAACATTCGACTAGTCCTGTATTTGCAGCGTGCTGAGTATCTCATAAAAGTTAGCTTCATTTGGTGCAACTTAAAAATGCAACTAATTATTGGGCTTGATTAATTAGGCATAGGCCAACTCGCAGATGAACCAGACAGTCCAGATGCAAGCTAGCCTTACAACTCTGACCATCTGACTGTATTAGATGAAGCGACAGCCTTTGATCTTCAGGAGAAAACTCCTGCCCCAGCTTATTCTATTTCTCTTCTATAATCTGGAGTCTTTTATTAATTTAAATATCACCAGGAATCACTCTCTTTAATGATACTGGAAAAATGTATTAATCATTCCTCATTCGAAATGTAATTTAAGTCAAGAAAAAAAAAAAATGCAACACCTACATGATCCATGTGAAAAAGTAATTACCTCCTAAACCTAATTAACTTCACCTTAAGAAACTGGAGGTCAGTCTTCACATTGCTGTGGAGGAATTTTGGCCCACGGTTTGTAGAAATGCTTTAATTCAGTCACAGTGAAGGGCTTTTGAGCTTTAACTGCCTGTTTAAAGTTATGTCACAATATCTCAATGGGGCTCAAGTCAGGATTTTGACTAGGCCACTTAAAAACCTTGCTCTTCAACTTTAGCTTGTTGCCATGGTGCATAACTTCAGATCACAGGCTGATAACTGAACATTCTCCTGCAGGATTTTTGGGAGACAGTAGAATTCATTGTTCCTTCGATTATGGCAAGTCGCCCAGGCCCTGAGACAGCAAAGCACTGCCACACCATCACACTACCACCACCATGTTTGAATGTTAGTGAGATGTTCTTATTGTGGAGTGCTGTGTCACCTTAATGCAAGATGTAATGGGACTCCTGTCTTCCAAAAAGTTCCACTTTGGACTCATCAGTCTACAGAACATTATTCCAGAAGGTTTGGGATCACCAAGGTGTTGTCTGGCAAATGTGAGAATCCTTTACCTTCAATAAATGATGAATGAAATCATCATTTAAAAACAGTACTTTGTGTTTGCTCATGTTGTTTCTCTCTTATATTAAGTTTTACTTGAAGATGTAAAACAAAGTGTGTCAAATTTGCAAAACTAGAAGAAATCACTTAGAAAATCACTTAGAAAAACATTTAGTTTGACTATTTTTGGAAACAAATATTAATCAACCACGTACAATGTAAATGATCATAGTATACTTGAATGTTTAAAATTTAAGTATGTTAGCTTTTTTTTGAATCAACTATAACTTTACTAAAAAAAGAGGGAAAGAAATGCTAAATACTAAATAAATAGCAAATACTAGCTAATTTCTGGCAAATATTACTTAGAAATATTAACTTTTGATCCTGAACTTTAGAATTGATGAACTACTTAACAACTAACAATTTATCTATATTTAAAACCGTTTTTGTAGACACAGACATTTGTAGACATTTTGTGCTGGGTATGATGTCATACCTTCATATAATCAGTTTGCAATGACAAAGGCAGCCAGTGTATTCTTCTGAATGGGAGATGTGTGTGACGTCTTTTTTCCTGTAATAAGAGTTTAACAATTACATTCTGCATTATATGGGATTTTTCATTTTGAAGAAGCTCAGAAAACTGTGCTGGAGATGACAGACCTTTGGATTTGTTTAGTAAGATTTGAAGATTGTTTCGCCTTATCCAAATTGGATTTATTTACAAATCACATAAATTGGATTTCAAACAATTCCATATGTTAAAGTCTCATTATACGAACTACAGGGAGTTTAGCAGACTGACAAGCAGCACTGGGTAAACTGCTTAAGAACTGTATTTTTGGATTACAGATTACAAAAAATGGCTAAAAATGCAGTGTAAAAACACAATATGAGGCTCATAGGCATAGTCAGTAAACTGAGAATTAACAAACTGACTTAATGAAGTTGTCTAATCAAAAATGTGACCCTTAAAAATAGCCTTAAAATAACTAACATAATTATTTAACAATTTCTAAGATAGAAAATTACATGTAGTCTGTTACCACCCAATGCCACTAATACTGGCCATCGTTTGGGTGGAGATGCACCTTGTTAAGGTGACCAATTCGAGATATGCTTTGCTCATAACAGCAATTCAAAATGCAGCTTACTAATCTACATGTTTATTATCTTGCATTTAAACTCAAGGCAGAACAGTTACTCCATGTAAACAAGAGGTTACCATTAACAATGAAACAAGGTTTGACTTGGCAATTTGTACAATCTAAAGCTATTAGAAGATGCCTTGCCCCAATTACACAGTTAAAAGCAACAGGATAAATGTAAACACTGCTGTTTACAGAGGCAGGTTTGATTGCTGCGAGTATAATGGCTCTAATTGCAGGGGAGGGGAGTTTCTCTGAGAGCGTGACACATCAGTCATGTTTCTCGATGTGATTACACCCCATTAATTACACGCAGACAACAGAGAAACAAAGCAATCCAACATCACAGCGGGTCTCAGCGGGCTCTGGCGGTGCCGGAATAATCCGCCCCATTGGGTGTCAGAGAGAAGCAGCTGCAACAGTGACTCGAACTAGCTGAGGTTGCCATCTAAGAGTAAGGTAACTCCAGCTATTATATACAAATCTAGTCTTACTATTGAAAGAAATGTTGTGGGACAGATACAGGGGTGGACTGGCAGTTAAACCCTACACAGAAAAATCTGTTGGGTGCTCTAGCTATGACTGAAAGTTCCAAGGATGAAGAGCATTACTACTGGTGTAGCAGTCTTCTGTTACTGTGCACCAAATCCCTGGAACTCCTTACTGAGTACTGAGTAGTACTTTATAGAGAAGATATATTACATATACACCGATCAGGCATAACATTATGACCACCTCCTTGTTTCTACGCTCATTGTCCATTTTATCAGCTCCACTTACTATATAGGTGCACTTTGTAGTTCTACAGTTACAGACTGTAGTCCATCTGTTTCTCTGTATACTTTGTTAGCCCCCTTTTACCCTGTTCTTCAGTGGTCAGGACCCCCACAGACCCTCACAGAGCAGGTCCTATTTGGGTGGTGGATCATTCTCAGCACTGCAGTAACACTGATGTGGTGGTGGTGTGTTAGTGTGTGTTGCGCTGGTCTGAGTGGATCAAACACAGCAGTCCTCAATGTCACTGCTGGACTGAGAATAGTCCATTAACCAAAAATATCCAGCCAACAGCGTCCTGCGGGCAGCGTCCTGTGACCACTGATGAAGGACTAGAGGATGACCAACACAAACTGTGAAGCAGCAGATGAGCTATCCTCTCTGACTTTACATCTACAAGGTGGACTGACAAGGAAGGAGTGTCTAATAGAGTGGACAGTGAGTGGAGAGTGCAGCAGCACTGTTGTGTCTAATACACTCAGACTAGCGCAACACACAATAACACACCACCACTACCATGTCAGTGTTACTGCAGTGCTGAGAATGATCCACCGCCCAAATAGTACCTGCTCTGTGAGGGTCCATGGGGGTCCTGACCACTGAAGAACAGGGTAAAAGGGGGCTAACAAAGTATGCAGAGAAACAGATGGACTACAGTCTGTAACTGTAGAACTACAAAGTGCACCTATATAGTAAGTGGAGCTGATAAAATGGACAATGAGCG